AACATTTCACAAAACGCTACAGCATTTCACAAAACGCTACAGCATTTCAGAAAACACTTCAACATTTCAGAAAACACAACAGCATTTCACAAAACACTTCAACATTTCAGAAAACACCACAGCATTTCAGAAAACACTTCAACATTTCAGAAAACGCTACAGCATTTCAGAAAACACAACAGCATTTCATAAGACGTTTCAACATTTCAGAAAACACTACAGCATTTCACAAAACGCTTCAGCATTTCACAAAACGCTACATCGTTTCACAAAACACTACAGCGTTTCACAAAAGGCTACAGCATTTCACAAAATGCTTCAGCATTTCACAAAACGCTACAGCATTTCACAAAACCCGTCAACATTTCAACTTTTACGGAAAGGGTATTCCTTTAGGGAGAACACTTCTTGTTTGTGATTGGACAGAGCCAGCCAGAGAAGCACTGCTGTGATTGGTTGTTTTTGCTGCCAGTCAAGAAATGACGCTTCGTGATTGGTCAGCACCTGACAGCGCAACATGTCCCAAAACATCAGCCGTTAGCTGTTAGCACACAGAGCTCACAGCTCCTCATATCTGTTCAGAAACTGAACAAAAGTTAAACATGTACAAACCACAGACTGTCTATGTCATGGCGAATACAGTCGCTGCTTTATTTCTGTCTGTATGACGTTGTTGTGAGTTTGGACGGAGCAGCTACAGGTTAGTTTAGCCCAGTGGTTCTCAAACTGGGGGGCGTGCCCCCCCTGGGGGGCGCAGAGGCATGCTAGGGGGGGGCGCAAGAGACCAGGAGGAAAAATGGCTATAAAAAAAAAAAAGATTAAAAAAAAAAAAATCAGAAATTGAAAAATTATTGATTCGAAAATAATATGATGCAGTACTATTACGTCTGGGTCTCTGTGTTTCATTAAAGCTCGGCTCTGTGTGTGTGTGCGCGAGCGAGAGAGAGAGAACGCACCGGTACCGGAGATCGTTGTTGTTAGCTTCTGGTGCTAGCGAGCTACGCTAACGGATATAAGGAGTCTTTTCAACAACAAAGTGGAGGAGAGTCCTCTCCTGTCAGACTGAGAGACTCAGTGAACTAAATAACTCTCTCAGTGTTATCTCAGTGGGTCTCAACAGTTTTGGTCACCATTAATGCAAACAATTATTTCCGAGGCACACGTTTATAATGATCATTATAGTTATAAAAAAACAAGAGAATAAATGAAAAACAGGTATGAAATACTATATGACAGTAAAACAAGAATAAAGTTTAAAAGGGTGATTTGTAAAATATCCATAAAGAAAAAGTAAATCTGTTTACAGTTCTGTTTCAAATGGGTGTTGAAAGAGGTATCTATAGATCTCTCCATTTTGCTCTCAAAGTGCACCAGATTGATGCTTTTAACTTCAATATTTAAAAATAAATCTTCCCGGGGGAGCTTGCCCCCGGACCCCCCTATGTGAGGTCCACACACCACCTATAAAATAGCACTTTGCCCCTGCTTACACCTATATGCCTCGAGCCTTCATTGTAACTGTCACACTGTGTATATGCGTGGGGAGTGTTGCAGTAGAATATTCCACTGTTGCGTCCGGTACATTAATGGGAAACCCTAAATGTTTGAGCACCCTCTAAACGTCAAGCTACCCCACAGCACCCCAAAATAAATATCTGGCGCCGCCACTGAGCCTGACTATTTGTGTTGGGGGGGGCCCGACTTATTTTGTTCTCCAAAGGGGGGGCCTGACAGAAAAAGTTTGAGAATCACTGGTTTAGCCTGATCGATCCGATCTCCATTCAGAAAACACGCATTTTAAAAGGTTTTTCGCCTGCCGTCTTGTCTGCACTTGTCAAAGCATTAATTCATGTTTCTTACTAACCGGTATCAGTATGTTGTTACTTCGGCATCATTTTGAAACGTGTATTACAATTAAATCATGGTAAAATATGTTCATTTTGTTGTAGTTGGTAATACCAACTTGGTATCTACCAAAGTATTTGCATGGATATAAGCCCCGCCCCCTCTCCAGCGCGTCTTGTTTGAATGACAGGAGTAAACACAGCTGACAGCTGCAGTGAGACTTGAGCGATTAGAGTGATGCGAATATTCGGGGCTTATCTCCATGTAAATATTTAAAGCTAGCTATTCCTTAACACTATTCAAAATACTGCTTATATGTAAACAAATCCACAATAATATTACATTTATAATATTTAATAATTAAACTGCACTTTGCTGATAATACCAGAGATGTTTAACCTGTAGAATATATTTGAAAATACTATATAGTGACATCTAGTGGTGAGGTTGCAGATTGCAACCAACAAAAATACCCTTCATCTCACCCCTCTCTTTATAAGTGAGACGAAGAACTACGTTGACCCATAGGTCACATAAACCTGCAAAGGCACTCCCGAGAGCCAACATTTGGTTTGACTGTTCTGGGCTACAGGAATTTATTATTATTTTCACTCTTTGGTATTGCTAATTTTACTTAAGTAAAATATTTAATAGTTTTGCACTAATGAAGTGCACTAATTCATGAGGAAAAAGGAAGAATCCAATATTCAATCTGTATTTGCTTTGAAATCTGTACAATTTTTTTTTTTTAATTATACACAAACACAAAAGGAACCTAAGATGTAGTTTCCTTGGTGGAGGTAACAGCTGGACAAAACCCAAGCTTTGCATCGTGCATGTGCATAACACTAAGGTAGTGACGAACTGGTGCAACCACATGTGAGCTCTCGGTCAGTTGGAGTGGCGTGATCGCACTCCACACCTGGAGTCTGGATTCTAGTTTGTGCCCGTGGTGCTCAGGTGTGGAGGAAAACCAGTAAGCTCATCTCATCCTTTCCTCAGGGCTGAGAGATAAAGGACAGACAGAGAGAACCCCACGACCTTCAGAAAGAGAGCGCAGAGAGAGAGAGGTAAATGGGCATTTGTACTGTTTCGAAACGTTTAGAAGGGGGGCCTTACTTCTCCCTTCTTCCACCTCTTTCCTGAGCAACAGGTTAAAGCCTTGCACATCCAACCACTGCCCTGGGGATGTGTTATGACAACCGAAAATGGTGAACAGCAAGAGCAAGAAGTGGCATGAACAGATCCCAAGGTTGCTGACATGTGGGGGTGGGTGAAAAAGACCTCTGTTGAGAAGTGTCTAGCCTGAAGATACAACCATCAACTCAAGTACCATCAGGCAGCCGCGGAAGACTATCTGGGCCGACTTGTGATTGCTGTGCTGAAGGAGGTAAACAAATATGGCTATCATTGGCACACAGGAGCTTGAAACAGCTCACTGCACTAATAAGGATGCTTGAGTCTACTTTGCTGGCTCCTGCACCGTGATGGAGGCTTGGATCGAGGTGATTGAGATGTGGTTTTGTGAAGGTGCCAGGCAGCGCCCCGGGATGATTTTCCTCACAGTAAATCACCAAGGAACTGCTGTGAAATTCTCACAGCTTGTTCTGGGAAGTCCTATCATGCCACTTTCACACAGTACTCACAAACACACTTCCTCTGACTGACATCCTCTCCATCATATGCGGGGACTTACTGGGAAGTTTGATATCATTAGTTTTGGTGTCTCTGACCGCAGGCTAAAAGAAAGCCTCTGGATGGACAGGCAGGAATATCCTGACACCTATCTGTGGAAAAAGAGGATAGCCTTATTAGACTGAATCAGGGCGAGCTGACAAAAGCTATAGCCCCAGGACATGTTACACAGAGTCTTTCCTGTCACATGTCTACATGTCAACAGATTATGCTATATGCTCTCAGAGTTTGTCTTAGGTTAGGGGGAAGGATCTCTGCAATCACACCTGTCAGCTACTACGCTGAAGAGAATATCAAATATAATGGAAAATATTGCCTGCAGCCTAGATTTAAATTTGGGAAGTTTAGCATCAATTGAATGACCTCAGCGAAATGTCGACTTGTTCACAAAGGGGGTTGTCAGCCATCATACCTGGATTCAGTGTCTGCATGACATTCAGTGGTAGCATTTGGTGTGTTGTTCACAGAGACCTCATTAAGAGATGAGCTATTTTTGCACAAGTGGACAAAATGGTCAAAGATCCATTCAGCCACTGTGGGGATGACAATGTCTATAGTAAAGACAACGGTCTTGCCATCAAATTTGAGGCTGTGAGTCTTTAATTGTCTAATACATCAGTAGGCTATAGGAGAGCGATTGCAATATATTGACCTGGGGATTCATACACTGAACATTTGATATGATGTTATTTTTAAATAAGAATAAAAGTCTCCTCAATGTGTAATTTAAAGAGGATATTAAGCTGGGGAACATAGCACTTCCTACAGATTTACCTTAGCAATGTATCAAAGGATTAAAAATAAGCTTTATAAAAATGTATATAGTATTTTGCAAAACATAAAATGCGGCTCAGAATGCTTACAAGAGAAATAAACAACACAAAGACACAAACAGTATAACCTAAAAATAAAGTCCTAACAAGTTAAAAAACAAGATACAAGATGGCTACTTGTACTAGTGGAATTAAACTTCCTTTGAACTACAAATAGAAGCTGCTTGTGTTATTTGTGATGGGTGTTTTCACCAAACTCTTGTTGCATGAAAACAGAAAGCTGCTCCACCATACCTTGTGTAGGTCGATGACAGTACACAAACCAAGAAGAATAATTCATAAAACTAAATATCCATGGTTAGGTTTCTTATCAATGTGTCTGCTTCTGAGTGCGTTTCTACATAATGTAGGCTACGAGCGAAGATCGTTAATTCAAAGACTAAAAACCTGCTAAAAAAATGATATATCAAACTACTCTTGTCAAAAAAGATCTATGGAACGACCTTCTCAAATATTTTAAATATTGCATTACCTCAATGCAATGTCTGAGAAACAGCTGCCACCTGAGCAACTATATCTGTAACCCCGTTTCTAAACATCGAGGCAGAGTGAGCTCTCTGTATTTTCCCGCCGCACTCTCTCTCTATATCAACAGGTGACGCTGCACAACTTCCGCTTTCCCATTTCCGTACACAAACGCTCAGCTGATGACGTGTACACTCTACCACCGTTAGCTGGCTAGCTAGCTAGCCCAGACACCTGTCAGAATAATAACGGTGTTATATGAGAATAAAGCAAAGTTACAACACATAAAGAAACACGGAGGAAACTCCAACAAATCGCGGAAGATGGAGGCGCTTTACCATCAGACAAACAAGTAAGTGTATCTTCTGTGGAAACGGTAGACTCTCAGATAGCTAACGAGCTAATTACATGCGATTGAACTTCATTTGATTGAAATTGAGCAAAGAACCTTTGTGGGGTTTATATGGTCGCTAAAAGCTTCACAAAGATGATTGTTCACGTCCATTAATGTTATCGGGTTTGCAGTTATGTACTGTGTTTGTTCCGATTCATTAACGTTATGTTTTATTCTTCTTTAGAAAAATCCAGGAGGTTCAGTCTTATATGGGAAATCTGGAGAGGACGGATCGTCAGTCAGTCCACTGTGAGTAGAAGCTACACCGTTTAACTGTCCCACTTTTATGAATATTAGTGTTAATGCAGTCATTTATAAAGTAGGTGAGGATTGACTTGTACTAAAAGATAAATACAAGCACACTGACAATAAGTTAAAACAATAAACTAAAGTTAATCAAAATAACAGATTTACCATATGTCAAACATCTGGCAGTGGTATACTGCCAGATGTCCAATTATAGTCCTAAGAAGATGTTTGAATAGTGTTCATGTAATAGTGTCCACCTCATTATCATATTATAATATGTCCTTCCTTTACCATAACCAGCCTCCTTTTGTGACAGTTTCAAAGAGCTATATACTACATAGAAAGTGTCTCCTTATTTAACACATCAACATGTAACAAACAATTAACAATATAGGCACCAGCTCGCCTGAGTTATGACACAAAATTAGAATCAGAAGGTTTTATATCCAAGTAGGTTTTCTAACAAGAAATGTGCCTTTGTTTGCATACAATGGTGTTGAGAGAAATAAAAAATCCAAGAACATAAACAGAATGGGTGAAAAAAGAATAGAAAAAGTAGGCTACAACAACATATAAGAAATGCTATAAAAATATGATAATACATATGAACAATATGTTAGTTTAGTGCAGGATGACCACTTTACCCTAATGCTCAGAAAATAGTGTTCAATCGTTTCAACCTCATTTATTAGGGTATATGATATTATCTCAAAAGCCAGCACTAACTATTTTTGTTGATGCCACCACTTCTGGCTCGATTGTTCTTTTAAATCCTTAAATTCTAATTCAGTGCAGACTCCTTGTTATGGCTGCCTCCCCTGATATAATGACAGAATGAAAGGAGGGGAGGTGGTGTCTCTGGAGGATTGTTCTCTGTGTTTGGTGCCGACTCAAATCAGTGGTGGGCCAGGCTGGTGCCAGGACAGGAAGGAGCAGGGTGGGTGCAGTGACTGAAGCTGGGAGGGCTTCTTCTAGATAATGGTGGGAGCCAGGCAGTAGACAACCCTCCCTCTCCTCCCCCCCCCCCCCCCCACCCTTCCTAAAGTGTGACATCAACTTGTGTTTGAACCCAGAAGAGGATGTAGCATTCATGACTCATGGGTATTGGATGGACAGAGAAATAATCACCTACTAAACTAAATAATTGATAAAGGATTTGTTCATACTGAAATAGCAGAAAATGCTAAGCTCTCAAATATGAAGATTGCCTTATTTTCTCTGTTTTATTTCCTATTTTCTAAACTGAATACCTATTCAATTTGGACTGGCAAAACAAGCCTTTTAAATCCAATCCCATTAGACTTGGGGTAGCCATTTCCCACAATGTTCTGACATTGTATGGACTAAATGAAAAATTGATAATCAAAAAAACAGGACAACTATTGTTAGTTGCCGCCTAACTAATAAAAGAAGAGTTATTCTGCTAATTAAAACCACTGAAGTCACTCTGGAGTAAACACTCAGAAAGGAATTATAAATCTAACTTTCAGACACATGTATTACATTTATGTTGAATGGATCAAAATGATAAATGATGTCTTCTTTCTTGCAATTATACCATATTTATTGTATTCTTTTTCTCATTATTCAAGTGTTAGAGAATGAGCTACAGGCTAGAACCGACCAGATCTTCAATCATCTTGAACGCCTGGAGATCCTGGCCAGCAAGGAGCCACCAAACCGCCGCCAGAACGCCAAATTGTGAGTTTGCAGTGGCCCAATTGATGGTGACCCCCAAAGCCCCAGAGCTGGCAAGCCATATCTCATAAAGGCACAGAACAGGGTGTAGAAGAGGAGATGCGTAGCCCTGTGGCGACGTGGCTTTATGAAAACATTTCCTCAGGAGCCCCGTCATCACCAGCATTCCTGCTGCATTGGGCGAAGACTCGTTTCTGAGCTGGGTAAACAGGCCTTAGGGGACACGGTACACCCCATCCCACATCACTCCTCAGATCTCAGTACAGCTCCAGTTGGGTCTGAGTGAAGCCATGGAGACCGTGAGAAACACCACATGAGATCTGAGGGGGAAAAGATGTTCTCATCAGCCGAACAATTACAAATAGTTACAATAAACTGAGGTGCAATGACGCGTTGTCATAAAATATGCTGTGGAGCGTTTTCCAACTTCATATCAACGATGAATCACCAGTGTTCTTTATTTGCTTTCCCTCAGGCGAGTGGACCAGCTGAAGTATGATGTCCAGCACCTTCGCACCGCCCTGCAAAACTTCCAGCAGCGACGCCACGCCAGAGAGGCCCAGGATCGAGACCGGGAGGAGCTCATGAGCCGCACCTTCACCACCAATGTAAGTACCTGAAAACAGGGTGGCAAGTAATACAAAACAATACTGTTTGGCACAGTTCCCTTTGTTGCACCTGAATGCAGCATGCAAAGGTCCAAGTCCTCTGATAAAAACGTGTTGGTGAAAATGTGATAGTGCTCCATGAACTTTGATTCTTCATCTCCACGTGCTTGTTTCCGCCGTGGAGCATGTGATAACTCAGGATGATAAAGTGGAATTATATTTGTGTTCAATAGGACGCAGATACCTCCATCCCCATAGATGAGACCCTACAGTTAAACTCCAACTTGCAAAACGCACACAGAGGCATGGACGACCTCCTGGGCAGTGGCAGTAGCATGCTCAACAGTATTAGAGACCAGAGATCTACACTGAAGGTGAGTGCATATGACTTTATACAAGGCAAAACAATCTATCTTTCCCCTCCCTTTTTTCTAAATAATGGCCCAGTTCAAAAGGTTACATTTGATGGATCTGCTGTTTAAATTGTATGATGCTTGACCCAGTTACTGGTGTCCACATTGATCATAATGGTCCTATTGTTAGTGTGCGTATGCTCGGCTAGAGGGTGAGTCCTTGTTTCCAGGGAGGAGATGGTCTTCCTGGCTGTGCCTCAGGCCTCGTCTTATCAGGGTGTGTCTGCTGATCAGCACTCATGGCGCGGTTGTCTCGCCATGAGAAACTTCTGACGGAGTGGCGCGTCAGACAGGGTGTTGGCACTCAATGTCAACCAAAATCAAACTAATTAGTTTCCATAATTACACTGTGTTCATATAATGCCTGAATTGTCCATAACATGTTGTATGTATGGCTTAATCTAACTTGTGTGATCATTAGTGTTTACATGGCTCTGTTTTGGCTCTGCACAGGGGACCCATAAGAAGATGCTGGATGTGGCCAACATGCTGGGCCTGTCTAACACAGTGATGAGACTGATAGAGAGGAGAGCCACCCAGGATAAGCTCATCATGGTTGGAGGCATGCTGCTGACCTGCGTCTTTATGTTCCTGGTGATCAGATACCTGGGCTGACCCCCGTCCAATCACAGCGGGCGTTTTTTGATCTGTCGTGGACATTTCTGCATGACATCATCCCTCATGATATGAAAGAACTTAATTTTTATTAGATTTAACTACATTTCTTGAAATAAATTGTGCCATTAGTTTTTTTTCCACCATCTAAATGATTATTGGCACATGAGGAACAGTGAAGCCCTTGATTACATTCAGTATTTTATTCCACTTGAAGCTCCAAACGAGCATTGAACTCTGTCTCAAATCTATTGTTTGTATCCAAACCACTCCGATGCTGTCAATCACTCTTGTGAATGGACCCCAAATGGCTTTTTCTAAAGAATTCACTGATCTTCGCTCAACTTGCTCTCCTCTCCAGTGAAAAGCTCCTGAATCTGTCTGTAATGTTATTCTGCCTTCGTAGAAATACATACAATTCTCCATGTTCATTATAAGGCATCTCCAGAGTAATCCCTAAAGATGTTTTTGTTTTAAATAACAGGGTTGCAACAACAATCTGCAATGTAAGCTGCAGTTAATTTGTTATTGTTTATATAGTTTCTCTAGGATGTAACCTTGGGTCAAATCTCACTATGTGAGTGATTTAATTCTCTTAATAAAACAAAACATGTTTCATTACATTTTGTATAGCTTCAACTGACTTGTCTTGTAACGGGAACAAAGTGTATATATCAATATTATAATAATAGATTACATTTTTTAATTGGAGCGCTTTTACAGGTGCTCAAAGCGCTTTACAATTACACATTACACATGTAAATGTCAATACTGTGGACATTACCCATAATATTAAAACCTTAAATTCCTTCTAGGATGTGTCAATAATTATCATCAACATTTATTTTAATGCAGTTTATTTTTTGGAGCAGTAACCGGAAAATAGCATACTTGCCCAAGTTCAACATGAGAAAATGTCTCGAACCAGTGGGAAAAAAAGACATTTTGAAGCCAAGGCTCTAGCTTGCAAGCCTAATATAATAGAACGTTCCTATGCTTATGGCTTCACAGTTCATTATACACATCAAAGGAGCTGAGGTAAAATAAAATAAAAACACAAAAATTGGTTAAATCTGAGGTTCTAATTCTTCTGCTGATGAGTTTCTTGTTGATCTACAGCTTTCACAAGTATTAAGGCAGCTAGGGCGCCACCTAGTGTTTAATATTGGACACTGATCCCTACAGGGACTGATGCTGGCTTTTATTCTAATGACTGCCGAGTGGTTGAAAGATGAAATGTTAACATGTGCATTTCTTTAACCCCGCATATTATGGAAAAACACATGAACTCAAGATTTTATTTGCTGAAACACAGAGGTGCTACTGCTTCACAGATCCCCACCCTTTGCCATCCCAGCCACCGGGTTCATTTAGAAACAAACTTGATAGAATACATTTCACGTGACCGTCTTCCATCCATCTTGTAATTCTGCTTTTACCAATACCAAACTGCTAGAACGTTAATAGGTTAATCTACAGCCGCTTTATTTACAAAATTACACAAAAGCAAAACACAGCCCTTCTTTTGAAGAGCATTCTGGAAAATAATTTAAAAACAGAAAAATACAATTATTGCAGTATACTACAATCTTATTGTTACATGATGCAAACGCACCATATCGATGTACAGATTTTCAGTGCAATTTATTCAGGTGCACCCCCACACAGGGAACATGAGCTTTGCCTCAGAGCAGCAGGGATGTTCAAACCCCTCCTTCAACCATCCCCCCCCCCCAGTCTTTCCCACTAAGAGAATGATTCATAAGGGACATTGTCATACCGACTTGGACACCATAGCGGTCATTGTATATGGTCATCGTTGGTGGGATTCTTCACATTACACACTGATATATGTACACGTTACTGCATTACAAATGAATTGAGACCAAGGATCCAATAGAGATCAAGTAGTCATATTAGAACATAAACAATACCAGTAAATATGAAGTAGTCTGTCTCTGAAGGGTACATTATAGTCAAAGCCTACCGCGTACTCCTCACCTTAACATGGCTCAGCTCATAGCTTCAGCCAGCACGTCACTCTATGGCTGCCAAGATGAGCAAAGAAGTCCGAAATAATATTTATATGGAAAACAAAACAAACTCCAGTGATTTCTCTTATTCATCATTCAAAAGTAAATGGGTTGTGTTAATTTACCTCAAGTTCGAATATAAACCATGTCTTTAAGAAGTCTCTTTAAACTTGAACTTCTTTTTTAGAAGTTCAGGGCAATGCATAAAAAAATATCTTGCAAAAGCCAGAGGAAAATGTCAACTCTGAGTGGGACACAGGCAGCACCACTTTGTGGCTACAACTCCTGCCCTGTGTTGGTCAGTAGAAGGGCTGCTTATTGACAGCTTTCTGTCTCAAAGACTTCATCCAAACCCTGACGTAAGCCGGTTCAGGTCCAGTCTTTCTTTCTTTCAGTGGTTGTGGCTGTGACTATACTTTGCTTGTATTACTCAGGAGCCATGGTTAGGTGGGTGCTGGAGGTCCTGCCCTGAGAAGATGGGGTGTAGCAGCGGGTGAAGTTGGAGAGCTGCTGCTGCAGCAGCCTGTGAGGGGCGGGATGAAAAAAGTGTGGGGTAGAGTCCATGTGGTACATGGTGGAGAGCTAAGGGGCCGTGGTGAAGTGCAGATGCTGGGATAATGTGTATGGGCTGACCGGAGAGGAAGGCGGTGTGGTGGGCAGGAATCAGTCCTGCGTGTCCCAGTGAGTGTCCCAGTGAGTGTCCCAGAGAGTGTCCCAGTGTGTGTCCCAGAGAGTGTCCCAGAGTGTGTCCCAGAGAGTGACTCAGGGAGTGGCCCAGAGGAGACAGGGAGATGGGGGTGAGGTGATGCTGGGGAATGTGGTGTACCTGGGCTAACTGGGCATGTGCAGGGTGAGGGTGGTGGGCATGTGCAGGGTGTTGGTGGATGCCCATGGCTGCCGCTGCAGCTGCGTGGTGCTGCAGGATGGCGTGCTGCACTGTGGTGATTGATGTGCCGGAGGCCATGGACATGGGCTGCTGGATGTGGATCTGCTGCATGGTGGGGGGAGGGGGGGGCTGGGCCAGGCTGGCGGCAGCAGCTGAGGGAAAAGTCTTCACCTGCTTGGCCATCAACTGCTGCTGGATGTGCTGCTGAGCAGCCTGCTGCAGCTTGCCGTATTTCTCCATCTCCTCTGGTGTGAACGTGATGGGCTGACTCTCTAAAGGAGCCAGGCCGTCTTCCTCCGCCTCCATGCACTCCTCCTCTAGGCTGGGTGGGGGGTAAGCAGGGTAGGCATGCATCTGATGCTGCTGATGCTGCATTTCTGGCATGAGGGACTCCATCATGGGGTTCTGAGAAGGGTCCTGTCCAGATTCTGCTTGGTACTGGGCCATCGCCATGGAAGGCTCATCGGGTTCGAACAGCGGCAGGGGTTCTTGGTGAACAGGAGCTTCTATAGCGGGATGCTGTGTCTCCTCTTGCACAACTGTGATCTGTGGGGCCTCCTCGACCTTCTGCACCGGGGGAGCTGGTGGTGGGGGGGGAGGGGGGAACTCCCGTATAGCCTCTACCAGGATAACTTCTGGCTCAATACACTTTCCAGCTCCTGATTTATCAACCTCCATAGGTCTGGTGAGGGGAAACAGGGGTTTCTTTCCGGCCTGCAGCTTACCAAAGAGCGGCAGCATGGATTTGCTTCCCAGGGTCGGGGGTAGTTTGGGTCCAAAGTATCCCTGTGGTGGATTTTTAATCTTATTCCCAGATTTTGTTCCTGTGGCAGAATCATCAGAGCTCCTTTTGGACTGAACCTTCTCCAGCAGCTGGCGTGCAGTAAGGCTGTTTTTCTGTTCTCCTGCATCCCGGGACCCCCCTTGCCTCAGAGACTGTGAGCTGGATGAATGGGTGCTGCGGTTAAGGCCTCGTGAGGAAGATGAACGCGGAGACTGGGAGCGATAGATGCACGAGCGGTTGAAGTCTCTGCGTTGTGCGTCGGTTTCCACTCGAGCCCTGGGAGCTCGTCGGCGAGAAGAGCCCTTGGTGGAGCTGGAGGAGCGGCTGGCTGAGCTGTGGCTTCGGCTGTAGCTGCGCCTCCAGGATCTCGGGCTGGTGCTGCGGCTCCAGCTGCTGGAGCTTCTGGAGCTGCTGCGATGGTGCCGCCGGTGCCTCTTCCTGCGGCTGTGACTGCGTGAACGTGATCGGGATTCTTCTGAGGAGGAAGAGGAGGAACGATGTCTCCTGGATCGTCTACGTCCTCGGCTTCCTCTTCGCTCGTACTCAGAGTCTGAGGAGCGTTTGGAGTGCCTCCGCCTGCGGCCCTCTTTGCTGTAGTTGCTGTAGCTGGAGTTGCTGCGGCTGCGACGGCTGTAGGCGCTGCTGCCTGCCGAGGAGCGCTCGGAGCTGCTGGAGTACGAGTGGCTACGGGAGGTTTGGCCATGATGGCGCCGGCGACTGCTGCCCCGTCTCTCCCCCCGCCTCGAAGAGCGGCTGCAGGACCGATTTCTCGATTCCTCGCTGTGGTGACGCCGTTGTTCCCGAGGACTTGACCTGTGATGCCGTGAGCGCTTGGTATTAGAGCCCCCTCCTTCTTCACTCCCGCTGCTGGGAGGTCGACCGGGACCGGGATTCTTTTGGGCTGAGGAGGAGCAGGAGGCACTCTGAGATTTTTCACTGGAGTCAGTCTTTTGTCGTTTTGCGCCACTGTGCTCCTCTGAGGAGTTGACTTTGTCGTTGCCTTTTCCAGCTCCTCCTTCCTCTGCTCCAGACTTACAAGGCACTTCCTTATTAGCACGTTTCCTCTTCCCTGTTTCTACTGCTGTGTTTCCTGCAGCTTCTCCACTTCCAGTTGTCAGCTGAACAGACAAGGCCACGGTTTTATCTTCTGACTTTGGTTTGGCTTTTTCCTTTTCATCAACAGCTGCCTCATCTGGATTGGGATCCTTGTTTTTGTTCTTCTTCCGTTTGTGTTTTTTCTTCTTTTTGGGCTTCTCTTGCGTTGCCTCGGTCTCACCCTCCGCATCTTCTTTGGCTCCCTTCCCATCTTTTCCAGTCTTGCGTTTTGAGTGCTTTGCAGACTTCTTGTGCTTCTTCTTTTTCTTTTTTTTCTTGGCACTAGTGCTTCCAGTTTGAAGCTTTTGCTCCTCACTTTCTACTTGCTCAAGCTCTCCTTTTTTTGTTGGCTTATCATTGTCAGTGCTGGTCCCAGGTTTAGTCTTTGCATCTACAGTTGTTGTTGTTGTTGTTGTTGTTGAAGCCGCCATCTCTTGCCCCTTGTCATTAGACGCTTCACAAGGCTTTGGAGACTTTGTTGCTTTCCCAGCACGCACTCCTTTGTTGCGGGACAGCTTGAAGTCAAAGTAGAGGGGATTGCAGCTGTAGGACAGGGAGGGCTGAGATTTGGTGAATTCGAGGAGCTCAGAGGGCCACTGCAGTGTAGTGCTCTCATCTTTGCTCAGAACTGGGAAGAAGGGACCTGTGGGGATCTTAGGACCCGAGTTGGAATCCTTTCTATCCCGTGTGCTCTCCGCTTTCTGAACAGGGGAAGTGGGCAATGAGACTGCCTCTGCTGCGGGGGTAGAGACATCCTCCGTCTTCGCTTTAGGCGACGGCGGAGTCGGCTCTGGGTCAGGGGATGGAGGGACATTATCTAGTTCTTTCTCAGGTCTGCATTCCTCTGTAGCGTCGGGCTCTGTCTCTTTAGTCGTTTCTTCAACCTTCTTCCTCTCCTCCTGCCCCTCTTCCTCTTCGTCGTCTGCTTTGATCAGACACTGATCAGTGGCCTTCATAAACAGCAGGAACTGGAAGTGAGGCTTCACCCGGCAGTGAACAGGAGGTATATAGTGATAGTACTCCGGCTCCTGTCCTGCATATCCTTCCTCTTTTTTCATCATCATCTTTAATTTGTTGAGAGTGGAGGCTAGAGAGGCTCCGTCATCAGGCTGCTCCACCTCTTCTACCACTGCCACACTAACGCTCTCTCCTGCTTCACTTCCTCCTTCACCTTCTCCTTCACCTTCCTTAGGGCTGTCCGAGCTGCTGCCAGAAACCTCCTCTTGCCCTCCAGCCTTTTCTCCATCCTGTGACTCTTCGTCCTCCATAGCCTCCTCGCCATGATCAGCAAACACTGCGGCGGCTGTTTCCAGCTTTACTGGGGCTTTCTTGGCAAAAGAAAAGGACACACTAACTTTGGATGCCCCACTAGGGGTCGGGGATGAGGAGTTGTTCCTCCCCAGAGAGAAGCTGATGGTTGGAGCTGGTTTTGGGGAGGCTTCCTCAATTTTCTCTTCAAGGGGTGCTTCCGGCACACAGTCTGTCAAATCAGTGTTTTCAGGCATTATGTCGCCATCTTCTAAAGTCTCTCCATCCACAGCCACTGTGGTCGGTTTGAACATGGGCCCACTTCCTGGAGTGCTGTAACATAAAAGCATGATAACAATGAGAACTGGGATGAATGTTTACAACTGAGGAAATACAAGACGTTACTTCGGTGACAGGTTAACTGGATGGTTGCATGCTTCATCTTGTTGTTTGTCATCACAAAGGGCTTGACAGGGTCCTGGTTGTTTTCAGTATCAGGATACAGTTTGATCAACATATTGACAGTAATAAGGAATTACTGTCACATTGTACAGATTTCTATTCCTATCTTTTTCTGTATTTATGTTGTTTGTAGTACTTCTCCTGTCTTTTCATTTCCTCATAATATATTTATGTTTAGTGAATGCCCAAAACCCCAAGGCAAATTCCTTGCAAGTGAAAACCTTGGCAATAAACTTTATTCTGGTGTCCTTCGGACAAAACGGAACATTCATTTCGATATCTTGTCCTGTGAGATGGAATTGTTAAAAATAATAAGAAATCTATGGCTGTGGTCTTTGTTAGCAAGTTTCATGGTGATCCTTCAAGACATGCACCTGTGTGACCACTACAGATATATGTTGAAATCAAGCCAGCAGAGGGCACTCAAGGAATAAGCTCTTACCGGTCCTGTTGTTTCCTCTGCTCAGCCAACTCATGCAATCTGCGCAGCATCTTTTCTTGCTTTTTTCCACCTTTCCGGGAGCGAGAGGACACATTACGAGCAAACTCTCTCTGTTTGAGCTCTTTAAGCCTCTGCATTAGACGAAACAGGGAGAAACGAAACACATCAGGAACTTTTCTCTCACAACAAGATATTCTGACGCAAAAAGACCTTCGTTAAGCACCCAAGAATTGATCCTCTGACATACCTGCTTGTGAGCGTGGTCGTAAGAGTTGATGTGGTTGTCAAACTCCTGGTGTTTGGTGTACTGTTTTTCACATAGCTCACAGTAGAAATTGGCTCTCAGGTCTTCCAAAGCCTTTGCAATGGCTTTCTCCTTTTCCACCTGGTCCTATTGTTGATGGGAAAAACAGAAAGGAATGAGTGAGTGTTTTTGAAAAGTAGAAGATTAGACTCAAATGACAGTAACTAGAGTACTTGCTCTCCTGTTTCTTTCCATGTGAGATGTACTACAGCAGCCCTAGTAGAATCAACACTGATGAGAATGGAACTAGCTCACCTTGTATTTTTGCCGTAGTTCTTCTGTGTCTTCCTTCTCAACTTCGAGCACTCTTCTCTTCTCTGTGGCGTCCTCTGCATAGTCCAGCTAAAAAGCATAGACAGCAGTTACAGCACTTGCAGACAACACAGTAGTTTAATTCATCTTATATGCCACTCATAATGAACTGTGAAGCAGTTATGCTGTAGGCCCATACGAGCTCTGATGGTCACTTTGTTTTACTTCTGTTTTCTTCCACTTGTTTCTGATGGTGACAGATTGTTCGACTGAAAAGTAACTTAGTCATCCCTTTTTGCAGGTGGCTGTATAAATCCTCTTTGTATCCAAAAATTGCAAAACATGAAACCAAAACATCTGAAGTATACATTTCTCTTTAGTTTTTTTCTCAAAGGTGAACACAGGACAGGACTTATGATTTACAAGGCAGTTATGCATAATGTAGCAAACATAAATATGAAAAAAAAGCATAAATCCTCCTGAAGGCAAAGGAATGATATTCAGCGACAATTGTGAAGGTCAAATGCAATTTACGACAAGAACTGAAAACACTGGAACATTGTGCAGCCAGCAGATTCAGCAGAACATCTTCATGTGTGTTTAGTCAGACAGTGTTACTGTATCATAATGTATTGTGGCATTTGGTTTAAGATGCCATGACAGCTCAACTAAGAACTGGTCTTGTCCAATATGAAAACAATCAGAGATGTCAAAACATCACGCTGTCAGTATAGAGCCAATTGCGCATTTTAAAACTGAAGCTTTTATGTCAAAAAACAACATATAGTGATTGGAGAAAAAAATAAAAAACCTCCATCTCACCTCCATCTCCATGCGTCCCATCCCCATGACATCATATTTGAGGGTGATGGGCACAGGGTCGGTGCGTCCTGAGGGAAAAGAGACAGAGAGAGGACGAGGTGAGTTTTTGAGACTGGGACATGGGGCCAGCTCGAAAACAGCCTGCTTTCATAGCATAGGGGGCTGGGGTTAGAGAATTTGCCTTGAAGTGCAAAGAGACCAGAAAGCTACAGTGAACCAAACACCAGCCATTCTCACAGCTTACTGCAGCCACCGAGTATAAAACACTTTATCTTACTTTCCTTAGATTTGACATGGCTGCTGGTTTGCATTTTGAATGAGTCAAATTAGCTGCAAATGTGTTGTTAGATGAGGTCAAGGGCAACAGGGCTGTTTAGCAATATGTCCTACAAAAGAAAGTAACTGGAAACAAGACTGTCCGTTTAGATCTGTTGGCATTTATTTTCAGTGTAGTCGTACAACCCACCGCCCCTCCTCCACCCGTTCATTGCTGCAGTCCTGTCAAACCAGAATGCCAAGTTTATCAAGGACACTACAGCTTGAGAGTGTGTTTGTGTGGTACGTTAGAGTGAGTGTGTGTGTGTGTGTGTGTGTGTGTGTGTGTGTGTGTGTGTGTGTGTGTGTGTGTGTGTGTGTGTGTGTGTAGGGAGTTGCAACAGGCCTGCGCAGCTGCTGCGACATCACCATGAGAGGAACAAAGCCATCTAATATTATCTGAGGCCTAATGCATTGTCTCTTTCTGGACGGTCCGCAGGCCTGCTGACCCTTCCACTGTCCTCAGGTTCAAATGTGTTCCCTGGCCCCCTTCCTCATCATGACTTAGAGCTGAGAAATGTATTTTTCCCCGTCTACTTCAGCTATGTTACGTAAGCTGTGAAAAGAGCTAGATTAGAAAGAAATTAACTGTAGAAAAATAAACAAACAACCAAAAAAAAAAACATTACAGATATAAAATATATAAAAATCAAAACTACTCTGGAGATTGACACATAATTGCTTAATCCACTCATAATCAGCCAAACAAAGCAGAGAGAAAGACAGAATCAAAATTAAAAAAGGACACAAGCACTGAACTACAGCAGAGTGACGTCACAGGCCAGGTATCGCCATGGTGACAGTGCAAGGGATGGGGATACTTACCTGGTAAAACATGGGTATGGGGAGGGGGGGTAAGGGGAGGACAGACAGACAGGTAGACAGGGGAATCTCAAAACAAAAGGCTAAATCATTTGGACTAGTTCTGCTGCCTCTGCTGCCAGCCAGATACAGCAATCAGTTGTTACTGATAGTGATTATCAATTCCGTTTGGTTTCAGTTTTTTCCTCCCACATTTTCAAGTTAGTTTTTTTTCATGAATCAATGTTTTATATATACCATTGGGCATATGGAATGTATAATCAAAGTTTATCTTGTGAAATACCGGTCACAAGTATGGTTTAAGTTTCTTACAAAATTGAGTTTAAATTAAGAGTTGTTTTCTATACGACAGAAAAACGTCTAATACCATACGTGTTTAATTTTCTGGCCCAAGTTATACTTTGAGCCAAAGAGTTACTTAATAAGCATTTGAAAGCTTTAAGCTTCCCTTAAACTCTGAATTAATGCATTTCAATTGGAGAGAAAATGACTTCCTGGACACAATTTGATGTTAATATCCGGTTCATTCCTGTATTGTTTTTATAATATTGTCATCACAGCCCAATGACATATTCATTCTGAAATCATAGATGCATGGGCATTGGAACATAGAATGGCCTGCCTGGACTCTCAGTCCCACTGCAGTGTCTGTCATACGAGTGGGCCTTTAGCTAAAAGGCTATAATGACTGCATAATTGCGGAGGTTTTATTCCCCTGAAGTAGTAAGAGGACTGACTGTATGCTATGTAGAGCACAAGACTATCAAATGATAGGCGTGTGTTCACTCTTTACCCAACAGCAGAAAAGTGAAACCAAGATAAGGGGTTGGTCTGTTTTTCAGCCACTGCAGTGGTTATTCTGAATGAAGTCACAAGCTAGGCCCAGAATTAAAGATTAATGAACAATTACAATCATCCCAAGCTATCACCAATCTTTAAACACAGTGACAATACTTCCACGTTACCCATTCCAGTGGAAAAGAAAGGGACCAGACAAAAACAATGTGCATCTAAATCACAGGGTGTGAATCACAGGGTTTCAAAAAAAAACTGAAAACAAACAAAATGACAATGTTCTAAGAGTAATACATATGCATGATAATATACAAGCAGCAGAATGAGGACTAATACAGAGAGAATTGAAAGCCTATGTAGCATTGGTGCTCTGATGAGAGGAAAACAAAACAAATGGGAGAAATAAAAACAAAAATAAAGAAAATTCAATTGGGGGATAAAATAACATTTACCACTAAGTTTACCATCAGCACAACATGGGCAGGATCAAATCGCTGTAAAAAAGAAACACCAATTGGTTAAGCAGGAAGATTGAGGCACACAGAGAAGGGAGGGTGGGGTTTGGAGTGTCTTTGGGGTTTATTACCAGAGGGGGTTTAGTGTGTCACCCCCCCACCCCCCTCTTCCCTTCACTCATGGCCAGGTGCTTACAGGGATTTCCTCTCACCACTCTCTCCCAACCACTGGTCCCAGTCCCCGGGCCCTTAGCCTGGCATTGCCTCACTCTCTAAACCACAATATGCCCCCAAGGTACCAAACTACCCCCCCTTACCAAATCTGCCCCAAGTCCTGTATCCCTCCATTACTGAAAACCTTCACTTTGAACCTTTACCGAGAAGAGAAATTAGAAACCCAGTCATATAGGTGGTTTTAGAGGAGCTACAATGGGTAAGGGAGTGATTCAAAAAACCTACAACTCAATATTAACTATGATAGCCAAGAGTTGTGAATCAAAACTAACATCTACTGTGGAGAGTCTGGTAGGCCTGTCACAATAGTTACATTAGATTGGACAATATACTGCATCATATTGCGATAAATTACATTATTGACATTTTTAAAGACTATTTTTATGCCACAGATTTGATAAAATAATGGCATAAAAATGCAAGTAAAATATTTCAAATAGCAACAGACTTTAACTCCTTAAGTATATTAATATATTGGATTGGAATGTGATAGAAATAGAAAAAAGAAATGGAACACACTCTGGCTCTGATAACAGAACTGTGCAGGTCTGATAATGCTATTGAAACCTCTCTGTTTATTCTGGCATGCTGTTCGTGACATTCTTATCTTTACAAACACTCGTGCAACAGGCAATATCAAGGTCCGTTAGAACCTTTGTGGTCATGTCCAAATATCGTACTATAAAATCGAAAGTAATTATTGTGACAGGCCTCGCCTCTGTTGCCAGTCTTTACGTTTAATTTAGTTTTATCATGGGGACAACTATCTAGTCTGAGACGATTGATGCCTTTAGGGACGACCACCATTTCCCCCCTTTAAGCGTTTTGCAAGGCAGATGCTCGTCAGCCCAGTCATAGCAAATCTCCCTGAGAATCTTTCATTTCCTTACTAGCCTACAGCCAGCGAGATTGTTTTGGGGCGTGCTTTACCCTAGAACAAGTGAACACATGACATACATAAAAATGTACCTGAGCAAAGAGCCAGCAAGGCTTTGAGCAGTGCTTAGAGCGTGGTCTGTGTTGCTATCTAGCAGCAGTTTTCCCAAAGTATCCTAAAAATGTGTTACATTTCACTCTATCCTGTTAAAGTAGTCGCTCAGTACCTCCAACACTGCTTAAAGCCCCAGGTGAGTGTGACGGTTTGAGGCAGGCAGGAGTGCACCGCTAGGACAAACATGCTGTGCAGGAGGGGCAAAGAAACGGGGGGAGGACGGGAGTGTTTTACCATGGGGACAGAGACATTTGGGGTGTAGAAAGGTGGTGAGGTTTTCCCTGTAAGTTGACTCTATGGCCCGGTCAGTAACAGACGCACACACACACATCTCAGTCCCACATGATGACCACGCACATACACACAAGCTTCACAGGTTTTGAGGTAGAAACAGGCAAACAAGCAGAAGGGGGAAAACATGTCTACTCTGCAAGCCATTCAAAGTCTGAGCCGTGGTTACAGCCAATCAGATACCCGACAGCAGCAACGGAAACTCAAAGAGGAAAACAAAAATCTACCGTACGTGGAGATGATGATTCTAAGGGATGTGATGGAATCATAGCTTTCCTAAATCTACCTTGATTTGAAATGGATTGTTGTTCTTTGTTCAAATCGAAGCACTTTACTCATTGTGCAGATTGAAATAAAGGTTTAGTGATTATGAAGCAAAGAGGAGGAAGCTGACAGAGGCCATTAGCCTACGGTACACTGTCAAAGGGGTGTTACATTGAGGTCAACTGCAGAGTGGGAGAAAGAAAACACACCCACACACACACATACTGACATACAGAGGGGATCCAACAAACCTTACCTAAAAAGGGGCAAAAATGACAAAAGAAGAATAAGAACAAAGTCAATACAGTGAAAAACTTAAAAAGGGGACACAATGCTTTCACTTCAAAATTCAAAAACCTTCTCTTCTTGCAGGGAGGACAGGACAGGAAGATAATAATGATTATCCAGCAAACTTCAATGTGATGCAAGGGCGTTTTTGTGTTGTGTGACACTACAAGTGCATTTAGCACATTTGAACAGAGATAGTAGGCTCCTTCGTGGGCCATTCATTCCTACAAAACAACTGGACACACTTTGCTGCAGTCTCATCTGCCCACAAAGCAGGATGCTTACATAACCACACATCAGAGGGGCCAGCGGCAAACACAAGAGCACAGTCAGCCCCTGCTACTTGTTCTCTTCTCCACAAAGCACACATCATTATCACATCAAATCCATTGCTATTCAGCTGTTCAAGGCCAGATGGAAACGCATGCACACCAAAAGGCTAAGCTCAGAAATGACTGCTGCGTCGTTACTCTGCAATCACTTGTCAGCCTGCCCAGAATGAAGCAGCTTTCTGGTCTACTCTGGTCCCTGGCCTTCGTCAGGCCGAGAACACCTATGAGACGACACAGGGATCCACGGCCATATATGTGCATGAACAAGAGGTGCCAGGGTGGCCTCAGCGCAGCTCAACAGCCAGTCATCAGCTCTGTCTCTGAAGGCTCACCAATAAACACAATCAAAATGTAATATCTAAATGTCAGATTGCAATATATCATGACCCTTCAATCCGACACAGTGGAGAGCAGATCTAAATAAAGACAAGAGTGACTCCAGAGAGGGAGCCATTCCTCCTTTCCTTCTCATTTACAACCAAGTTGAGCACCACAGCCGGTATCTGCAAAAGCAAGGACATCTATAGGCAGGGTAAAGCCCTGTTTTCTAAACACCTGATACAAATGAATGCATATTTTCATCAAGTCTTCTGTGGCTGTTGTATTACAAAACCAGAGACAACTGAACATCTCATCACCTGAACCACAAACACGAGGAAGGCATGGACTTTTCATGATCTGATTATGCTGAATACAAATTAAATCAAGCAGCACAATTCTGAACGCAGATACCTTCTTGCTGGGTTTGAAGGGAAATAAATGCTCTTAAGCAAATGTTGCAATTGAGCAAGAAATGAGAAGAATAAGTAGAAGAAAATGACTGCATGAGAGTTATAGAAATAAAAGCTCTGATGTTAAAATGGTGTGGGATGACAGGGGAGATTGAGGAGGCAGACAAAAGTAAATGCCAGAAATGATGCAGAAAAACCAGCTTGGTTCTTAGCGAACGGCCAGGACCCATTCGCTTGCCAGTGATGTCATCACTCATGGCCAATGCTATACGTCATCCTCTTTGGAGAAAGGGCATGGAAGGGTGCGGCTCTGAAGAGGGAGTTAGGACGTTCGAACTAAAAGAGAGAATAAAGAAAGTGATGAGGAGAGAAAGAGGCTGATGAGACAGGAAGAGGCTCGGTGGAAACATGCCAGGGCTCTGCACCACTGCCTCTGAGCCAATGAGCCGACGAGCAGAGCGGGGTCGAGCTAATGATGTGCTGACGTTAGCCAAGACCAACCCACACTCAGCTCTGCTCAGCCTGCTCCCTCTTACAGCAAGTCAATATCAACTGGGACCTCCAATTACAGATGTCTCCTGAAAGTAAAGCTCTCTAATGCAGCTTTCTGGTTGAAAGCTTTCTGCACAAGTTCATTCAATGGGCAGAGCTTACAGAGCACTTTTACAGCACCGCTTTCACTTCCCTCAGAAGAGACCGCAATTCTCGATCTTAAAAAATGAAGCGGATGGTGTACACATGATGTTAATCAGTTGAAGTAAATAATATACTAACTATAGAGTAGGATTGAAACGGTTATCTGGTTCATAATAAACCATGCTAAAATTGATTATGATTGGTATCACTATCTTTTTTTAAATCATTAAAAACAGACTGTCCAGCATCAACCAAAGTTAACAACAGTCTCCCAGAAGCAGGCGGAGCATGCAACGTGGGTCTGTTTTGCGTCAATGTTAACATGGTGGAAGGCAGTCAGAGCTCTGGAGGTTTTTCCTTTTTCGAAATATACATTGGTTCTGGACTAGGTCCGATGGCATTGTCACAGCGGCCTGTTCTTGAATTCATTTACAACTAGGCCAGAAAAAGCCCTTGGAAAAACAGGGTGTGCTATGCATTCCTGCAAGTTGACAGCTCTGTTGGCTCGAGTTCTGGCTACCCTGTTTACCATTTTAGTGTTTCCATGTCAACCATGTGCTATTCGTTATAATGCAGCTGCAACCCTGCCCCAAAGTTTCGGAAGAGGTACATTTAGCTTCTTTACCGGCAATGTAAGTTGAGAAGAGGATGTATGTTTTTAACCAGGGGTAAGATCTGGAGATGATACAAGACTTGTGTGCTAGCACATCTGCAATACATAAAAGTTTGTTGGCTAAAACAACTGAATGTGAACAAGGCTGTCTTCAATTATACTGTGATTTTGAAGGAGGACCGAAAGCTCGCTTTAATCTGTATTGCATAATTGAAAGACAAACACTCCACTCCTATCCCTCAACCCACTATGGTCCCTGCCCTCGGTGTAACTCCTTTACAAGGCCTCTGAAACATTCCCCTCCCTCTTCCATTCCAGGGAACAGCAGCGAGAGAGCGACAGGAACTGGAATGAGGTTTGTTTGAATACAAATTGATTTTAGCTAGCAACAGACACAAAGGAAAAGACCAGAGAAAGAAACGGAAAAGAAACATTTGCTGATACAACAAAACCTAGAAATGTGAGGGCGAAGAAAAGGACATAGGGTTGGTGGCTCAGTACCACCAGCATACATTGCAAACAGATGTTCAGAAGAGTTTGTCCTTACCCTGCATGCTTTTGCCGAGACCTTGCCCCGACTTCCAGCCATGTTTCTGAAGCAGCCGGTGCCCAATGTTATCCTAGCAGAGAGAACAGAGGAGAAAAAAACCAAAAATATTCCAATAATAAGAGGAGCTTTTCCCTGTTGGGTTTTCATCAAAAACAAACAAACAAAAACAAAAAGACACTCAGATCACACTATCATCATCAGCACAACCACCACCATCACCATTATTGTCATCCACATCACCTACAGCGTGTATTATCAGTGTCTTCCAGCACGAGGAGTGGTAAGGACGGTTAGGGTGGGGGGGGGGTAGATGGTTGGAGACTGAGAGGAAGGGTAGCTTGTCCACTATGAACACTACATGAGGCTATGTGTAGCTTGTAAACTACAGGACCCTCCTACAGAGTGCTGTTTTGTAAGGCAGTCATTTCTTTATCTTTTACTTTGGATGATAAAGATAACATTGAGTCACATCCACTAACTGAGAAGTTAAGAGGAGTGGTAGGAAGGAGGGAGGCAATATATGTATCACACACGCATACATATATGAACCACTACAGAGCAAGATCTTAGTACACAAAGAAAAGTGACACAGAACAGGTATGGAAATCTTGCATTAACAAAACAAAGATCAGAAACCCAAGCTTGCTGTGATTCCGTAACCATGACAAGGAGAGCACCATGAAAACATATGCAGCTGTCACAAAAACTATAGCAAGAGGAAGAGACAGAAGTGGGGCTAATGGGCCTTGGATTACCATTACAAGGCCCAGGGCGGACAGAATATGCACGTGAGGGGATATGTGAGTGCAGGTGAAGAGAGGGACATTGTGTGCACGTAGCCCCGTTGGATTCACTAGAAATAGCTGTTGTGAATGATTCGGACACCTCCAGTATTTTTCGTCTTTTATCAATGGTCTGATCCAAACCATATGCACAATTATTCTAAACCATTATTAGACACAAATGTGTGCCGTTAGCTTGCCTCTTATTTAAATCCTCATTCAGGCAATGTGGAGAAAATCTGGTCTGTACTTTGTCAAGTGTTTTCATTTTAAGACTGAGCACACAACAGGAGTTTGTCAGAAGCATTATCTCTTTCTGGAAAAGTATGTTGTATAAGAGGGGTGGCGCCCGGCTAGAGCACAAAAGAGGCTCGTCATTTGGTCATAAACAATGCAATTATATGAACTGAATATTAATAACTCAATATGAATTTGGGGGTTTTATTTGAATACTTTAGGAAAGTATACAGACAATGTACATGTGGGCAAGATCAGACCCATTATATTGAATCAAAGAGGCAAGAGAGAAGTGCGAGAACACACACAACAGCAATTCCTAGTATACTCAGGGGGGCAACTGCACATGTCTGAGAGCGTTATATCACTAGTATGGGTCAGCAAGAAAAACAAAAACATTAAGTGAAATGCAAGATCATCCCACCACTACACACTACAGTACATCCTCAAGCACAAATAAACAATGAGATTTCTTAATAAGCAGTGTTTTCTGTTGTGATTATAACTATTCCAAGCTTTGCTAACATTCACCAGAGTGCTGCATTCTACCAAAAAAACATACAAACCAAACATAAAGGATATTTATAATCACAAAGAGATTGACATCAACTTTCACAAACAGAAAGTGAAGGGGTTGGAACAAAACAGCATGCAGCTTTTTGTTAAATTATTTTAACAAAAAGTATCGTCGGTGTTAGTAGCGTGAATGGTACACATACAGAGGGGGTGGAGCGGGCTGGGGTGGAGGGCGGGTAACAAAACTCCAACTATGTTAGCTTCAGGTGGATCAGGCACAGAGAGGAAGGTGATGGCTCAACAGGGCTCAATTAGTTCTATTTGACAAAGAGGAGGTGGGGACAGAACAGAGCAGGCTGAGCCATGGTGGAGGTGAGTTTCTGGGGTGTTGGAGGTGAGCTGAGCTTGAATGGGTTAGTGCATGTGAAGGGGAGTGGGATTCACACACACACACAGCACACACTGCATCTCCGCCCAAAGGGTCTCATTTATGGTACATTTGGCATAATCATGTTCAAACCCTGTTGGCGTTTAGGAGCAAACTGATGCCTTCTTTTGCCCTATTTATTATTTCTGAGAGGAAAAAACCGATACTTAGTATTTAGAACCGTGAAATCCCAGATATCTGCAATACATCTATCCAAGACAACTGGCTGATGTTTTCCTCCCAAGAGAAAAGCTTAACTGCCTCACTTCCTGTTTCTGTTGGGTTTGGTATTTCCCCCCCCACTATTTCATGGATCTATGAGCTGTGTTTACTCTGTGACACATTCAGATCCCTTTCCGCTGCGGGGTGAGATAGGAGGGAATCTGTGCTGGGTCTCACATGGTGGGAAGGGAACTGAGGACACCTGCTTGTTTTAAATTATAACTGGGACGACATGAAATCCTACATTTGACATGCTTTCACTGTACATTGCCTGGCAGTTCCTTGGCATGTCACCACCAAAGATAGGCTGCATGGCTAATAGTTTGTGGCCTCCTGCATGGTGAACAACGTGTCCCCTGACTTCATTATGTAGGAAACACAGCAGAATTTGCTGCAGTGGATGCCTCCCCTCCCACCGACATTGGGTATGCTTCTGTCTCTTACTGCAGTATTATGGTGCACCACTCTACACATGATTATCTATATTGATTTGGGGAATAAGCTGATCTATGAGGTTTCAGCAAGAAGGAAAATGAGATGCACCCTATCCTAGCTGCTCCTGTCTCGTGTTTACATAATCCCCGTTTGCCGATTTGTTTATTTTTGATCTCGAAAGCTAGAGAAGTCTGACCAAGGGTGTTATAATGAAATGTTCTGAAAGCTCAGAGAACATAAGCCCTACCTTAAATTAAATGTGTTTAGCTTGTTTTTGGAGGGCAAGTTGGATAAGGCATCAGTCGCAACTGCTGACACTAATAAAAAGATTAGTTCAAAATGGGCTCAGCAAACTAAGAGGGCGGAGATGAGGCGCTCACTGCGTGTCTGAACAGATGAGTGCACCAAAAGAATAGACAGACAGACGGATGAAAGCAACGACGGCGAGTCCAACAGCAGTGCAAGTGGAGTGAAGGCATTTCCATACGAACCTGGCTTTAAAATACTGGGCTGTCAAAAAAACAGTCACACGTGACACAACGTAAGAAACCGGCCAAACGCTTTCAACTGCAATTCTGCTAGCTTCTCTAAGTTCTTACATATGCAAATCTTTCTCTCTGCTCTTAAACAAACATAATGCTGTATACAAACAGAAAGGGCATGTCAATAAATCCACCAACTGACTGTTAATACAGGAGAAAGAAAAAATTGAAAATGTTATCCAAACAAAAGAGATCTAAAAGGAGAGGTGTTTTTAAAACTGTGCACTGTGCCGTCATCGGCACAGTGCATGGAAAAAGATATGGGGAAGGGAAGTGATATGCAGGGGACCCCACCTAGAGACCTCACAGTATTTAGGAATCTTATAGCTTCAGTCGAAGCAGTCATTGATATGTCTACAGTACTGGAGCGTGTCTCGATATTAGAAAATGCTCTGGTTCCAGAGAAAGATGTAACACACATGCATATTAATCTATGCAAGTGACTCAACTAAATCAACTCAAACTACATATTTTATATCATTTTGGGGGATTATTGCTCACAGAAACAGATTTGAGAGTTTGCATGTTCTGATGAGTAAACACAGACCCTTTAGGGTTCTGTCTTGCAGAAAAAGGGGGGCTGCTGCAGTTACTCATCCTCCTCTCTCGTGTCCTTGAGGAATGTGTTTTTGGAAGTGCTGGTTGAGGACAGGGCCTGCTGACTGCTGCTCCTCATAAGCTTTTGCAGCTCCCTTGTGCATTCCTTGTTGGTCTCCACTTTTGCAGGTGTGACTAAATGGAAACAACTGTGTCAGTGCATCAAGAGTCAAATTGCTTTAACAGCAGGCTCCTTTTTCCCAGCAGATGGAGGTGAAGTGTGGAAGTGTCAGAGTGACCGCGAGGGGATAACAGATTTCATGAATTAAGTGATTGGGAAAATGACAGAGAACCAGCGTCCGGTTTAAATGGAATCATTTTAAAATACATACTTACCTCATCATTCTGAAAGCCCAATGCATCAACCGGAAATTAAGTTGACACTGAAGCCAACATTTGTAGCGGTCTCCAGTAACTTTAAACAGAGACTGTAAAACTGGCCTTCCCATTCGGTTTGAAGTGCGTTTTTTGGTTAGGTTATTCTTTTTCTCCACACTTACCCCATTGCTGACTTTAAAACAGATTATTTTTGAGGGCATTAGCAATGACCTTGAACCCAGCATCACTGATGCTCTCTGGATTAAGGCTGGTGCTTAATAGAAAGCTTGCCATGTTGCAAATAATGTAGGTCACGAGTAGGGCAGGATTAAAATAAAAAAAGGATTGGGCGTTTTCATTTTCTTATCAAATTGTCATATCTAATACACCATATATGTTAGCATCTGTAGTACAAGTTGAGACAAGTAGTAATGAATAACTCTTGAATGCAAAAAGTTGAAACAACATTTTTACTAAGAGAAAAACGCATTGTGGTCTGCGTACATGTGATTCTTAGATTTCTGGTGCGTATATGTGGTTTCTGTGGCTCTGAGGCTGCCCGCTGCATATCGCTCTTAGACAGGGTCAGAGGGGGAAGGAGGGGAGGCTGGAGGGACTGAAAGGGGGCAGATGACGTACGAGGGATGAGTATTGGAGGAAAACTGTAGTAGTGATTAGGACAGAGTGTTGAGATAAAATAGTACTGAATGCTCCCAAGTTAACACATGCAATGCAAAAACAATGTTATAGAGAAAGAGCAAAAGACCAAAGGGGAAAGACAGAAAGAGAAAAAAGATCCCAATAAAGTACCACAGACCTCTAGCTGCCTATAGTTCACACACAATAAGTGGCGGGGGAGGGGCTCCGAGAAGCTGGGCCAAAGCATTCACTAACAGATCCCAGATCAGGCCTGTGTACCTGTAACAACACTGTCACATACTCTATGTCAGTCTGTGTTTTACTGTGATGTTTTAGCTATCCATTTAGGTGCACTGTTAAAGGCTGATTAAGGGGTAGCATTGTTGGTCTATACTGTTTGTACATGTTGCATTTGACAGTCTTATAAACGGTGTAATTTGTATTATTGAAATGTAACTGATGTAACGAAACTGTCACCAGATCCTTTAAAATAATCCTCAGGGTTAACAAATATTCATAGTGACTTGCTTGTGGTTACACAGTCTGCCACCATCTCCTTTGAGCATGCACTTTCCAAAGAGAATATGTAAAGGTGTGTATTTCTATTAGTGACGATGTGACACCCCCCACAGTTGTGGCCATGTCTTTTCCACATGTGTGATGCTGCAGCGCTGCCCTCAACGCCCCTCCACAAATAATAGCGCAGGAGCTAAAGAGTCACTCAAGCCAGGTGAGAAGGCCACCTCTCTCTATTTGTATTTCTCCCCCTCCACCACCCACACACAGTGGGAGGTGTGTGTGCCTGTTAGAAAACAATAAAGTGAAACTCAACCAGGATGTCAAAAGATTCTATGCCAGATTCTGGCACATCTTAAACACAAATATAGGCTACACATTTGATCAGAGTGATAAATTAGAAAATTGTGAATAAATTAAGGGGTTTTTTTCCCTTTCAAAATGAAATGTATTCCGCTGCTTGAATGTTTATTTTTTTAATTGACGGAAATGTTTAATCTCAACGTTTGTATTTTCCCAGGCAATCCTGTTGTTATAATGTCATGATACTCATAATTTACTTGTTTAATTATGTTTCAAATATCTAGTTTACTTGTGTTGCAATCCAGCGATGTTAATTGTTTAAATACAGCTTTAATTTAGGAACAAATAAAACCCCTTTTATTTGTCATGCTTTTGTTTGATTATAGAATCTGAAGAAAGTGAGCATGCCTGTTAGATTGCTGGTACTATCTGATTGACTTTCAAAGCACATCCCTAAGGCTGAAGAGAGGTCATGGGACACTGTGTAGGTCAGAGGAGTTTGGGCCTGCTCACCAAAGAGCTTCAGTGACAGAGAGGGGAATGGGGGGTGGAGAGAGTGGGAAAGACAGAAAAAAAGAGAGCTGCCTGCGCTATTATCTTTGTGCCTCTTCAGCGAAAAAAATGCAGTCCCAGTTGCACAAGCACCATGCCAGCACAGAATGACAGAGGGTACTGTACAACGAATCACTGTGTAGTAGGGAGGGAGCGAGAGAGAGGTAGAGAGAGAATAGATGTAGAGTGCGACAGTAGTGAAACAGAGAGAGAGAAAGACAGTCAGAGAAGCGTTACAAGGACCCTAAAGATAGGAGTAAGAAAGCAGAGCGTGCAAATACAAACCGGGTCATTGCTGCTTAGCTAATAGGGGGCCAATTCGCTGCAGGAGAGAAATGTCGAACACCCCAAGTTGTGTACAATAAGATAACTGTCCTATAGACACAAACACTTACACACAAATTCTAGAGCTACATGGACACACTCATTCAAACACAGATGTAGCCATTCACACCATCTTATGTGTGCTATTTGGTTTGCTAAATGGAGTGGAAAAAGCACTGCCAACTTTTTATAATCGGAAACATTTGAGCCACTGAAAGATAGTCAGATATACAGGTGTAAACACTTCTTAATCTGGCTGTTTTTTTAATGCAAAATGATAACATGTGCCTTGATTCAAGAGGGTTGCATTTATGATCTTAACCCTTTGAATACATTTGAAATCCGTGAATCATCAAATCAGAGTTGTTGTAAAGGTAAATCACCCTCTCAAATGTAGAAACAACAACATGGCTCAGTGCAGAAACCTTGTTTAAAGCAGGTATATCCATAATAAAGTCTTGTCATTACCAATTACAAATGAATAACAGCTGGATGATTAGAAAACAGCCATTGATGACAGTGCTTTATCCACCCCATGCTTTCAGTCATCTTATCTCATTGTGCTAAGATGACTAACAATGACTAATGGGAGACTGATACATAAATCAAATGATTATCTGTAAGCTGCACATAAAACAGGAAGATCTAGCATATACATTATCTTTTAACTATCACACAGGAAATGGAATAGGCAGAGGACATGGGAAGTGGGAGGGACTTAAAGGGTATTAATGACCATGAGACAGGTGATTCTACAGGTTAGGTGGCAAGTGTGTTTACGAAAACACTGGATGCATCTACATGGGCAGAAAGAATGGAGTTTATAGGTGTGGCTTTTATTTCTCCCTGGACCAATCATCCACTCTCACAGCTGGTCCAATGGTGTGGGATGATGGATGCAGCCTTACCGATTCGATGGGCTTGTCCAGGGACGCCTGCTCCAGCTCCAAATGGCCTTCTTCATACTGGTCAAAGTGATTCCCACCCTGAGTGAAAAACATGTAAAAGCTTTCATTTAGAAATATCATGTAGACTTGCTTTCTTTCATCATCATCATCAGTTCAATCAGTTTTTGAGCTAATCCTAAACATTCCAGCCAGTGGTGAGGATTTAACTGCATTAAGTCGTTTTTGGGTTTATCATGTAATCTCAGGCCAAAATAATCACAACATATGCTTCATTAATTGTGTTTACCTCTCAAATAAAAGCAAAACACACAACCAGCATGTGGTTTACTGCATATCAAATCATGTTTATGACGTTTATATAGTTTAATAAAAACATATCAAGTAAGAAAACCATTACTCCACTATAAACAATCCCATTTTCCAGTTATTTAAACTTAAAAAAGCCTTTAATTTGAAGTTTGGATTGTTATTTCAGGAAGCAGATTCCTGGTAAATGTATTCCAGGAGGAGCAGCAGTGAAGGATGACTTCCGCCTTAGGCTATTTGTTGTCTGAATTTGAAGCTGGTCTTTACTTACACAAATTGAGCATTTCATTTTAAGTCCATACCCTGGGAGGGACGGAGAGTGAGTAATGGGCTTGCTACCCTGACCAAAAGGGTTGTGTTTATAGAGCCGTTTCTGCTCAGAGACAGATGGCTTCCTCTCTTAAGCAGCAGAGGAGAGACGAAGGTCATGTTTGTGAGTGTGTTTTCTACTGACCTTCAGAAAAAACTGAACAAGTCCAAAAATAGTTTGTGGTACAATATTTACTAGATGCCTGCAGCAACTAGCAATAGTACAAGTGTGGACAACTAACTAATGCAACTAGACACGATATATACAACATAGGGAGGTTTGATTTCCACTTTGTATATCTATCTGGGAGATGGAACAGGCACTGCAAACAAATGATTTGCCTTTGTATTATTCAGGACTTCTTCCTTCACTGCTAAAAAGTATATGGTTACAGCTGCAGAACTGTGCAGCAAAGACAATGCTAACACGGACTGGGCTATGCAAGCAGCTGTACCGCCTACATTCTCTAGGGGGATCTGGGTTTTGCAGAGATAAGCAACTACTCAAATCCGCCCACCATAATGAGGTGATTTGATGCCACACTGGCAGCCATTAATTCAGATGAGACAGGACCTCTCGTCAGCATGAGTGAAGCCCGGGATTATGAGAAGGAGATTCAGAGAATAGCAAAGGATTTATTTATCTCTTCCCCAGCCACCTCTCTTCCTCCTGACTTTCTGCTCAGACCCCTTAATGTGCTATCAAGCACAACCTCGGCCTGCCACAATGACTTCTTATGTTCTGCTGCTTTTTCATCCCCTGAGTCTGGTAAACAAACACCACGGCAATGCTGCATAGAACTGATCTTCGCTGTGTCCTCTGATATTACAAGAGAATATTTCTCTTTGTTTTTAAACGCTGATATGAGCGCTCCATACCACTTAACATTAGCAAATAAGAGAACTAATGCCAGCCAGCAGTGTAGATGCTCATAAATAACCTGGTGTCTGCTGAAACATAGCTCCATATTGCAAATGGACTTGTTTTGCTTTAGATAGTAGGTAGACCATCAGTGGGAGTTTCCTTCTCCGTGTTGCTTGGCAGCTTGCTTTAGTCCATGGAGTCAAGGAGAAACTTTCTGAATACTGAGCAAATGAATCCTTCACAGCAGATCTGCCACACAGAGCTCCACTGTGCTGAGCCAAAGCTGCCTTCAACAGACTCATTCAGAGCACACAACATTTAGCTCTCACTGACAAAAAAGCTGAATACTGAGTTCCCACTCGACAGCATCACAGTGGCTTTAGGGGGGAAAACACTGGCTAATTTCACAAGCAATTATACATGCTTAAACTTGTAATGGCCTGTCTACTAATTCACCCATTCGCCATATCATTGCTACAAAAAGTACTTGATTGCTTTTTTTAAAAACAACTATAGCATTTTAAGCAAAGTTTATAACTGTCCAATAGCAAAAGAACCCCCCAAAATAACTAAAAAAACAAACTGAGCATCAACGGCTTCTTGTTCAAAAACACTTGCTCTTTTTCAAAAATGGGCCAAATATTACACAACAAATGACGTCAGAAAAATTTAAGGACAAGTTAGTTGTTGAAAAAAATGTATCAATACCCTTTAAATGTCCCTGAACACCACAGTTACTTTAACTCTAAACCAATTCGAAATGTTCTAAATACAAGCACACATTTTTGGTCACACAATATGTTTACCATCTTCTATATCTTAACATTCATTGTATATACATAACATGAAACCACAACTTTTCTAATTTGTACCATGTGAAAAGATGGTTCCTGGAGGAAATGTTTTGAAACTTGTAGCTGAATGACACCTGTGCCAGACTTACAACCCCAGGTAATCCCAAAACTCAATTTTCAAGCTGCTTTAATTTGATCAAACCAAATGACAATTTATTTCAAAACACTGCATTCATATATTTAGAAAGGAAAACATTATGACACATTATCTGCATACTTTGTTACGAAGGATGTCTTCTATTGACAGTTTTGAGACCAGTCAATAACCATACATCAAATCATTAAAAATATGTTGGGTGGCTTAAAATATTTATTGCCAGAAAGTACAAATGCTGCAGAGTTAAAGTAGGGGATTAGAATGTCATGTAAAGAATTTGAAGTAAACAAATATGATGAATGACAATGTTTATGGTGAAAAAAAACACATGTTAACATGGTCATCTTGTTTTCTCTAATCTTTAATTGTGTGTTTGGCTTGTACTGGGTGCGGTCCTAGATCAAAGATAGACAAGTGAAAGACAAACAGCTCATATGTGGATGTAATTCAGCAACTCAACTCTGGCACTACTGTTGTAAATATGCAAACTAAAACCTTTACAAAAAGGCATGTTAAAACTGTTCACTAGGGACGGATTTATTTGTAAAATTGCTTGACATTTTCCCACAAACGAAGCAAAATGGAAACCCATTGTTACTAACTTCTCTACTTGTGAATTGTACGTTTAAGTCGTATGATAGAAACAAACAAAATGAAGGCTAGATAAACCAGTCTGGCAACGGTACAAAAACAAAAAAAGTGAAGCAATTATGTCACCTTTACCGTAAAGACTTTACGCAAGGAAAACACAGGTTATAACAGTTTTGAAAACAAAACTTTTTTTAAATATCAGCTAATAAGTGGACAAGGATATGTTGTTGATCTAAAAGCAATCGATAAACATGCCTCAGACATTTAAGTAGCAAACTGTAAGATATAATTTCATGTAATGTCATGTATTATTGAGCCTTCATATATCTAGTTAAAACTAGGTCAATTTTAACACGCTAACTAGCTGCTGTAGTTGTTGTCAAAATGATACAGCCATTTCTAGCTAGTACTACAACTGCTAATGAATGTGCGTACCAGTTAGCTACAAGCTAGCTAGCAATCCATCGTTAGCATATGTCGATAAACAACCACACTACCCAAGGTCACTAACAGCTAATTGGACTTCAATATATATGTTGCTGTTGCATGGTTAAGATAGTTTGCGTGGTAAGCATAATCGTAAGGCTAATAACCAATGACAGGAGCCAAATATAGCACGCAGCCAAACACTGAGACGTCAGGGAAGTAACATTCAAAAGAACCGCAGTGCACTAGCGTTAGCTTAGCCAGCTTGCGGTGCTAGCAAGCGACATCTAGATCAGACGTTTGCAATTACATTTAACCACCCGCTACGTTGTAAACCATATGTATGTGCTTAAACACACATACATGGTGAAATATGTGCAAACCGTCAATTGTTTAACATGCATTACCTTGAAATCACGCTCTTCGTTGAACCTAGAAAATCTGTCGGCCATTTTCTGAACCGAGCAGCAGCTTCTCTATCGCTCCGTCTGTCTGTGTCCAACAGATGCGCTGTGTTGCTGCCGCTGCTGATGATGAGGTGCTCTAAGCAAATGATCCTGCCTCTGTCAACTGACCTTTCGCTAACAATTTTCACCATACACTGTAACAGTATGATTCCCAGCAATATGTTACATGTGTACCTTTTGGAATGAACTGGGGCTATATTAACACTGTAATGTCTAGGAAATGTGTATGCCCGATATGAAAAGTAACGAAGTACATTTATTTGTAGTACTGGACCTACCTACAATTTTAATTTACTTCATGCAGTATTTCCATTTGTCATATACTTTATACTTCTAATTCTTCTTTATACTTATTTGACTGCTCTGTTTGCATCTGTATTAAAACTAATCTGATGACATATTAAGCTAAGAAGCTAAAGTATTGTATGCATTTTGTAGTGGTTGATTAATTTTGGAATGGTATTAGGTATATCTGAAACCCATATTGAATGTGCTCTTGACAGAATATAGCATATGGCCAAAAATACCAATATCATTTAGTCACATTTTTTTGCCAGTTTCTAATCTATTTAGATGATGTGCTTTGCCCTTAATCTAAGAGAGCAGTTGTAGTGTGTCCTAGGAACTTTTTTTGTCCACCAGATTATAGCATCTTTTTGTTTGTCCATCGAAATTGCAGACATGAAAAATGCTCACATTTCTTGTCATATTTTCTTCTGCAATTAAATACTGGAGCAAACAGCAGATTGAAATCCACTCTTCTGCTTGTTCTGTTTAAACAACATACTTGCATGGTTTGCTTTGAGAATCTCTTGGCTTTTGTTCACACAAGTGTGAAGACAGGAAGAAAGCCAGGGGTTTTACTTGGTATTGAAAAGGGGAAATTACCGGATCATCAATCATTTATTTGGCTTCTCTTCTCACATGACACACACTCAGAACTTGCAGCCCATTTCTGGATCTAATTTAAGAAAGAAACAGGGGGTTACGTATTGTAACCCTAGTTATATAAGCACAGGCAGATCCCTCTACTGGACTCTATGGGTACTACTCTCTATCATGCTGTGCGTGCTTTCACCTACTGAGTTTACGTAAACGTAGCCGGCCAATCGGGCCGAGTCTACCTGAATGCGCGTGCAGGCCCACAGTATATAAAGGCGGCTACACCCGCCGCCCACTATCCTATACACTCTTCAGCGAGCGGACTAGGAAAGACAGGGCCCCCAGGTAGAGGGCTCCGCCTGTGCTTATATAACTAGGGTTACAATACGTAACCCCCTGTTATATTTCACACAGGGTCCGCCCTCTACTGGACTCTATGGGTACAGTGGGCGGAGCCCCGATGTATACACGCCCTGTCATCCAACAACATCGACCCACCACACCGTCCCTGACCGGCTTTTGGCTAACATCCATTGTATCCCCACTTCCTCCCATCCGGTTGTAACCGTAGAGTAGTTGTATGGGCTCAGAACAGTCTCATAATACACACATGTGCACAGAAGGATTCACACTTGTATTTCATGATCCGCAAAAGGATTCACACTTGTATTTCCGGATCCACACTTGTGTTTTTCAATGCACACACAAATGTATTCCGTTTCATATACATGTAAATAAAATCCAAATAGCCTACAGAAAAAAGTTTCACATGTGTATTTTTGATCCTCACATATTTGTTTTCCGTGTAAAACCTCTGAACCTGCAAACACAACCCGCTTTCTGTGCATGGATCGCTGTGCATTCGTGTGTGGGTTTTTTGAGACTCCCCTGACGGTCAGCCGATTCGTACTTGTAATTATTTCTATCTATAGCCAATCAGATGTCTCCTCAATTCTAAGCCAATCACATGAGCGCGCCCCCACGAGGGTAGATTTCTTGCGTTCATGACGTAGCGCTTCATGTACGCATTTTGCGCAGTCCGGAGCTGACAGCTCCATGGAGCCTGCCTGCAGGCGCTAATCTCAGGACACCCTCCACTCTCAGTACAGCGCCACTTTCCGAACAGGAAATGCACGCAAATACAAGCCTTTATATTAGTAAGGTAGGCTACATACAGCGCCACTTTCCAAACCATTGATGAATGCTTGTGTACACAAAAACGGCAGGCAAACCCGTTTTAAATGTGTGTTTCCTGTAAAGTGAATACAGCTGCTTTAGGAGGGAGCAGCTACAGGTTAACTTAGCCTAATCGATCAGTGCACTACGAAGCCAGTGCTAGACAGTGACCTGTTAACGGGGGGGAGACCCGTCGGTCATTATCGGCCGATATTCACTCTTAATAGTTTGATCGGTGCTCTCTATAAAGGCCGATCAGGAGAGCTGGATCTGATCGATATGGACATAAACGCGAGTGAAGTATAACCGGACGCGAGAGAGAGATCAGATCAGCTGCTGAGTCTGATGGAGACACGCTGCTCTGCATGATCACCTGATGCTCCGCCCTCTGTTTAGCGAGCTGACCGGACTGCGCAAAATGCGTATATGAAGTAATCTTACCCTCGTGGGGGCGCGCTCATGTGATTGGCTTAGAATGAAGGAGACATCTGATTGCTATAGATAGAAACAATTACAAGTACGAATCGGCTGACCGTCAGGGGAGTCTCAAAAAACCCACACACGAATGCAAAGCGATCCCTGCACAGAAAGCTGTTTGTGTTTGCAGGTTCAGGGGATTTAAACGGGAAACTAATAAGTGAGGATCAAAAATACATATGTAAAACTTTTTTCTGTATTTGGATTTTATTTACATGTATATGAAACGGAATACATTTGTGTTGAAAAACACAAGTATGGATCCGGAAATACAAGTGTGAATCCATGTGTGCATGTGTGTATTATGAGACTGTTCTGAGCCCATATAGTTGGGGCCGCAATTTGGATAAGGCACACTCACACGCTTGGGACGGGTGGCGCAGTGGTCTGTGCATCCGATCATCAGATCAAGGGGGAGTGCTGGGGAACTCCAGTTCGAAACCCGCTCCTGCGTCAGGCCGTTGTGTCCTTGGGCAAGACACTTCACCCGGATTTTCTCCTGTGGGTATTGTCCACAGTACATGTATAATACCAATGTGTACCTGTAAAAGCGCCTCGATGTCTTCGAGGCGTGAAGATGGACGGTGTGGCGCAGTGCGCTGTGCAATGATCATCAGATCAAGGGGTGAAACCCGCCGCTGCTGCGTCTGTAAAGCCGGTGTGTCCTTGGGCAAGACACTTCACCTGAACTTGCTCCTGTGGGTATTGTCCACAGTATCTGACCATTGCATGTATCATATATGTGTAATGTGTGTATATGTAAAGCGCTTTGAGTCATTGATAAAGCGCTATAATAAATGTAAGGAATTATTATTATTATTACCTCGTGTAAGTGTGCATGGAAAAGATCTGTGCGGAGACTCCGTCTGGAGCCTACCGCGCACCATGTTCCCCAGGTCACTCAGGAGCATGGGAAAACATAAGTGCACCATGTCCCCCACACTCACACACGCTCCGTGTAGAGTGGGCATGGACAATAGTGAGGAAGGCTCTCCCAGCCTGCCTCCAGCCCTGTATGAGGCTGATTGCGCACCATGTCTCCCGAGTCCCTCAGGAACATGGGAAAACACAAGTGCTTTATGTCCAGGGGGGGGTCAGACAACTGCTGACCCACAGCTACCCCCCCTCTCACCAGTCATGCGTTGCCTCGGCAAGCACAGACGACGAGAAGGAGCCAGACATGTCCAGGAGATAACATTTTATGAAGGAGCCTGGCGTAGACCAAGACGCCGACATGCATATATCTTCTACACTCACGCTGCTGAATAAGGCTGTTTGACACAGCCCGTGTAGAATGCACACGGACCCCAGTGGGGAGGGCTCTCCCCGCCCGTCCATAGGCATGTGTAATGCACCCGCATAGCCATCCTGTTAGGCGTTTCTTGGAGAGAGCTTTTCTAGCCACACCATCCCCAAAGCACACAAACAGCTGTTCAGTGCGTCTAATGGCAGCCATGCGCTCTACATAACATGCTAGCGCACGCACTGGGCAGAGGAGGTGCAATTTAGCCTCCCTGGCCTCAATATGGGGTGGAAGATTAAAGCCACCTAACTGAATAGCCCTTGACCTGAACGAACTCCTTAGGCTCTTAGGAGTAAAGGAGGGGTTCGGTCTGAGTGTCGCCCTGCTACGGTCACCCCGGATCAAAAGGCAGCTTGGGTGCACCGACAGAGCGGTCAGCTCGGACACTCTTTTGGCCGAAGTCAAGGCAAGTAGCAATGCTGTCTTCCATGACAGTGCTTTCAGGGAGGAGAGCTCCAGGGGCTCAAATGGTTCTGTGACCAGAGCCTCGAGCACCAACGGCAGGTCCCACTGTGGGGCGGAGGCGTGCATTACATGGGCGCTGCCTCCTGACTGCAAAAACCGCGACATAAGCGGCTGACTGAAGGCTGACCTGCCTCCAAATCCGAAATGGCAGGACGAAATGGCTGCTGCATACACCTTAATTGTGGAATGAGTCAGCCCCCTGTCCACCAGTATCTGTAAGTAGGTAAGAATAGAGCCCAGCGTGCATGACAGAGGCTCTAGACTCCTTTCTTCACACCATCGCCCGGAATCCCGCCCACTTTGGCCTGCAACAGTCTGTGGTGGATTCTGCTTCTGCTGCTTGGATAGTCTGAATAACGTTGTCAGACAGCCCCACCTGTCTCAGCCTGTGTAACGCCCCTATTGCCCCTGCTTCCTGAGACAGCGCTCCCCAGACCTGAGGAATAGCCCAGGGCTGGCCCACCATCATCTGTGTTACCCCGCGTACCACGGCGCCAGGCGGCGATCTGGGGCCATTAGGATGACTGACAGCTGCTCCCGCCTCACCCTATCCAGGAGGGGGGGGGATAAGGTGCAGCAGTGGAAAGGCGTAAAGCAGCTTCCTTGGCCATGGCTCGTGTGCAAATGCGTCCACCCCCAAGGGCGGATTGTCCCACCGGGCCAGGGAGAACTACAGGGCACAGTGGCTGTTGCGCCGATTGGCGAACAGGTCCACCTCTGCTCTCCCGAACTGAGTCCAGAACTGCTTCACCACCTCCGGGT